ATTAAATGCATCATTCTATTTTGGTATCTTCTTCTTCTAAACTAGTAAATACCCCGGGCATTGCCCAGGCCGTGAAATGAAAAAAAAGAAGAAGAGAATTTTAATATAAACTAATACATTAATAAAAAAGTAATTAATAAATTATTATTAAAATACATATATAATGTTATATAAGGTTAGTAATATTTTTTTTCTTAGTAAAAAAAATTTTATTAAAGGGATGCAAAAAGTACCTCAAACTTGTTTATAAAACTATTATGAAATAAAAACTACAGTTTAGTTTTGAATTAAGATGGTTATATTCAAAAATCCTTCTGCTAGCATGGTTCCTTTCCATACCATTATGCAAAAAAAAAAAAAAAATTTCTCATTTTTGAAATAAGTTTGTTTAATCATATAAAAGGTATGAGCAGATGAAAATGTTTTATATGGACTTCACACGCTTGCTTAGACGCAAGCAAAGAGAAAAGAACAATATATATATGAGATCTATTAGGTTTTTTTTTTTCATTTTACATATCACAAGTCAGTATTTTATCTACAACAACAACTGCCATAGTAGAGACAAAAGGTATTATGCTTATCTTTTTATTACCAAAGTTCTCTTCCGCCACCTCCACTCTTTCTTCCCGTTTCCTTATTCCTTTGACTGAACATATATCCAGACCTTAAATCTATGTATCTAAACCTGAAAAATAAAAATAAATAAATAAAAACAGTCTAAAGAAAGAAACTGATGTATCTGCACATGGAAGAAACTTGGAAAAAAGACATGGAAGAGTTATAAAGAACAAACATTTACTCCAAAAACCAGTTAAATCAAGAGAAGCACAAAAAATAAGTCTACCTGTCGAGTAAGAACAACATAAGTCTTACTTTTAGATTCCAGAAGAATTAGCACAGCTAAAACTGGTCCTCAAGTGAAAACAACACTTGGAACCTAAGCATGTGTTTCAATTGATTATGAGAGAGATAGCACGGGTTCATCAAATAAAAGAAAAAAAAAATAAAGAGATAGGATGGCAACAATAGAAATTATGACTATAGAATGGTAGAGTAAGAGAAAATGCGAAGATAACTAAGTTTCAAAAAAATTGAATCAAAAGCAGTGGAAAAAAATGATTACAAAAGTAATTTACCTAATGCAATCTTTGAAATGCTTCTTTAAAAACAATATTAGTTGTTTGTTTTGAGACATTCCCTTGAATATCTAAGCTTAGGATTTTCAATCCATGCTTACTTTTTACTCTTGAAAGTGCAACATACAACTGACCAGTGCTAGAAGTAAGGGATCGTGAAAAGCAAACTTTAGAATATTTAATGAAAAACCAAATTCAAAAATACAAAATTCTTACATGTTCATCCAAAAAAAGCATTTTAATATTATCAGCCAGTTTTAGCTGTCGAAAATTCTTTTGCTTCCAAAGCCTAATTACTTAACCTTTATCCTCCATTGCTCTTTAGAAAGATTAAGATCTTTAATAAAATCAAACATATTAGCCATTAGAATCTATATAGTCTTTCTCTGATAACTAAAAAAAAGGACTGGTATAGCATTATATATGCATGCAGAAGAGACCTTTCAAATGACCAATATTTATTGGATAGATTATCAAAAAGAATTGGAGAAATAAAATTTGCAGAATTGGAAATAAAAATCAAAATCAATAGATGAATGTAAATTTTCAATACATTAGAAATATAAAACAATAAATAGTGGAATGCATCAAATTAAAAATTGGAATGGAATAGACTATAAATAGGCCATATATAAAAAATTCAATAATAAATATGAATATTTCGAATTTAATAAATAAGTAACCAAAAAACTCATCATCTGATGATTAAAAATAATTTTTTCATGCACCACATATTTATTATTTTAATAAAATTAAACATCTTATTTATTTGACAGATTATCAAAAAATATTGAAAAAATAAAGTCTGCAGAATTGGAAATAGAAATCAAAATCAACAGATGAATGTAAATTTTCAATATATTGAAAATATAAAGCAATAAATAGTGGAATGTATCACATTAAATATTGGAATGCAAAAGACTAAATAGGCTATATAAAAAAATTCAATAATAAATATAAATATTTCGAATTTAATAAATAAGTAACAAAAAACTTATCTGATGGTTAAAAATAATTTTTTCATGCATCGCATATTTATTTTAATAAAATCAAACATCTTATTTATTGGACAAATTATAAAAAAAGAATTGGAAAAATAAAGTCTGCAGAATTGGAAATAGAAATCAAAATCAACAGATGAATGTAAATTTTCAATACATTGGAAATATAAAACAATAAATAGTGCAACACATCAGATTAAAAATTGGAATGCAATAAACTATAAATAGGCTATATATAAAAAAATTCAATAATAAATATGAATATTTTGAATTTAATAACCAAAAAACCCATCATCTTATGGTTAAAAATAATTTTTTTATGCATCACATATTTATTATTTTAATAAATAATTGGAGTATAGGATCAGCAAATAAAACATTCAACTTTATCAGGATCCTCATCTTTAGAGAATATGCTAATTTAATTTACCTTAGGTGTCCCTTGCTAGCTATGGATGCATCTGGCTTTCTGTTCAAAAGCCTTGGACTCAAAGTATTTAAGCTAAGCGGCAGCATCCTGCAGCAATTCATCAAAACAATATAATTTCATATTTTTAGTTTTAAGTGAAAATAATAAATTAATAATCATAAAGTTTACCGTGCTCATGACACTGGTAAAAAGGGTTCTATCATATGTTATTAGAAATTAGGAGTTAAGCTGTCAATTGCTATAAGTTGTAAAACTGCTATGATCTTTATTGTCAATTAAATTTCACTCTAGAATGGCACCATAAAACTCTAGGTCTAGGAATTCTCCATCTTTTGGTGCTATGAATCATCTCCACGAAGCATTCATCTAATATGTAGCTAGAGCACTAACTTGAATGCATCCAAGAAAAAGAGTATCTTATTAACCCACAGACTGAAAAATATACATGTGTACGCAAATCATTTGGACCCA